TAAAAATATACCGATAAATTTAAATCCAAAAAAAATAATAAGACTCCAAATTCTACCAATGTGTGTGCCAAGATCTAGTGTCACAAGTGTACGAGCATCTAGTAGAATATACAAAACTCCAAATACTGTCTGAAATGAAAATAGACAGAGTGAAAAAAATAATACAAGAAGAGGCACCGGTAGCTGCAGAACGGCTCAAAAAGGTAGCTCACCACTACGCCCTTGGATAACGAGGATGTGCGATGATAGGTCCTCCACTAGTATCTGTCTCAGATCCTGCACAAAAAGTGCAGCAAGTGTAGCATGAGTACGTAAACAACGTGTACCCAGTAAGTATCAAGCCTAATCTCGAAGTGGTAGAGACGAGATGGCCGACTTTGACACTCACTAAGGGTCAACAATAATAAATAAAATAAAATATAATTATTTAAATCAGCATAATTCACAGATTTAATAATAATTTGTATTCCATTAGCAGAAATAATAAAAATCCTTCCAAATGCAACAATTTTCAATCTATTAATTAAATCCTTCAATTCCCATAAATTTCAAATTTATCAAATAGCTTTACAAGTTGCAATAAACTATCCAAGTATCGTGTAATTATTATTATTATTAAGCACGATTTTCTGTCGAGGTCGTACGGCCCGATCCAGAGTGTCATGTATACTTCCGAGAGACGTGCGTCACGATCCATAGATACATCTATCCTGTCGAGGCGTTCGGCCCGCTCTACAAGAAAAAAGAATATTTTCTTATGTACCTCCGGAAAGAGAGTATATTCATTATAAGATAAATTCGGGAGGATAAACAAATTCTTTTTAACAATTAATTAATTTACACAGAAAATTAAGCATATGGGATTTTCATCCTTTAATATTTTTATCTAACAATTCACAATATGTATATATAGATCAAATAATATTAATTAAACAAAGAATACAATTTACACAATTAATTTATGCTTTGAGTCCTAAACTACCCGGACTTTAGCATTTATAGTAGCTATGCAAGGACTCTCGTCATCTCGTGCGTACGTAGCCCCCACAATTAGCAACAATTATTGCTTTAATTACCTATGGGGTAATTTTTTCCTCACAAGATTAGACAAGAGACTTACCTCAATTTGCTCCAATTCAATCAACTAGAAGGTCTTTTCCTTGATTATCCAACTCTGAATGGCTTGAATCTAGCCAAAATAATTCGATACAATTACTAAAAATTATAGGAATAAATTCCATAACAAAATACTACATTTTTCAATAAAAATCCGAAATTAATTAAAAATTCGTCTGTGGGGCCCACGTCTCGGAATCTGGCGAAAGTTACGAAATCCGACAACCCATTCAATTATGAGTCCAACCATACTAGTTTCACTCAAATCCGACTCTGAATCGATACCGAAATCTCAAACATTCGTTTCTATGAGATTTCTAAAAAGTTCCCAAATTTCAATCTCAAAACACTAATTAAATGGTGAAAATAATGATATATTCGTGTATATTGACCAAATCCGAGTTAGAATCACTTACCCTAATGTCTTTTCCTTGAAAACTATCAAAAATCGCCTCTGCTCAAGCTCCAATTTGTTAAAAATGGCGAATGGGACGAATGCCCTCTTTTATAATTCTGCCTAGGCAACCATCGATCATGACCTCGATCCTCGGCCTCGATCGTGGTTCGATCGCCGCCTCGATCATGGCCTCGATCCTCAGCCTTGATCATGGCCTCGATCCTCGACCTCGATCGTGGCTTCGATCATCCTCATCCTTGATCATGGCCTCGATCCTCGACCTCGATCGTGGCTTTGATCATGGCCTCGATCCTCGGCCTCGATCATGGTTCGATCATGACCTCGATCATGGCCTCGATCCTCGACCTCGATCGTGGCTTCGATCATGGCTTCGATCGTGAGTCTTGATCCTGGGCCTCGATCTTGGGCTCGATCTTGGCCCAGAATTTTCAGCAGAAAGGAAAAATTGCAGGAGCTGTTTTAAGTCCAACTTTTGATCCGTTAACCATCCGAAAGTCACCCGAGGCCCTCGGGACCTAAACCAAATATACCAACAAGTCCTAAAATATCATACGAACTTATTTGAAAACTTAAATCACATAAAATGATGCTAAAATCACGAATTATGCTCCAATTCAAGCTTAATGAAACTTAAAATTTCTAACTTCTACATTCGATGTCGAAACCTATCAAATCAAGTCCTATTGACCTCAAATTTTGCACACACATCATAAATGACATAACGGAGCTATGAAATTTTTCAGAACTAGATTCCGACACCGATATCAAAAAGTCAACTCCCCGCTCAAACTTCCAAATATAAATTCTTATTTATGCCATTTCACGCCTAATTTAACTACGGACTTCCAAATAAAATTCCGAACACGCTCCTAAGTCCAAAATCACCATACGGAGCTGTTGGAATCGTCAAAATTCTATTCTAGGTTCGTTTTCTCAAAATGTTGACCGAAGTCAAACTTGGCCTTTTAAAGCCTCTATCAAAAGGCAAAATTTGATAGATCGTGGTTCGATCGTGGCCTCGATCCTCGGCCTCGATTATGGTTCGATCGTGGCCTCGATCATTGCCTCGATCCTCGGCCTCGATTATGGCCTCGATCCTCGACCTCGATCGTGGCTTCGATCATGGCCTCGATCCTCGGCCTTGATCGTGGTTCGATCATGACCTCGATCCTTGACCTCGATCATGGCTTCAATCATGGCCTCGATCATGGGTCTCGATACTGGGCCTCGATCTTGGGCTCGATTGTGGCCCAAAATTTCCAGCAGAAAGGAAAAATTGCAGCAACTATTTTAAGTCTAACCTTTAATCCGTTAACTATCCGAAACTCACCCGAGGCCCTCGGGACATCAACCAAACATACCAACAAGTACTAAAACATCATACGAACTTATTTGAAACCTCAAATCACATAAAATGACGCTAAAACCACAAATTATGCTCCAATTCAAGCTTAATGAAACTTAAAATTTCCAACTTCTACATTGGATGTTGAAACTTATCAAATCAAGTCCGATTGACCTCAAATTTGCATATAAGTCATAAATGACATAATGGAGCTATGAAAATTTTCGGAACTGAATTCTGATCCCGATATCGAAAAGTCAACTCCCCGGTCAAACTTTAAAACTTAAATTCTTATTTTAGCCATTTCAAGCCTAATTTAACTACGGACTTCCAAATAAAATTCTGAACATGCTCTTAAGTCCAAAATCACCATACGGAGCTGTTGGAATCGTCAAAATTTTATTCCGGAGTTGTTTTCTCAAAATATTGACCAAAGTCAAACTTGGCCTTTTAAAGCCAACTTAAGGAACCAAGTGTTCCGATTTCAACCCAAACATTTCTAAATCCCGAACCAATAATCCCCACAAGTCATAAATCATTAAAAGTACATACGGGAAGTTTTATTTTAAAGAACGGGGTTCTAAAGGTCAAAATGACCGGTTGGGTCATTACAACTAGTTACCTGCACTTTTGTGGAAACTAAGTATTATGCTCTCTAGAAAAATAAAGAGATATAGCAGAACCTTTAGGTTAATCAGGGAATCAAAAAATAATTAGGGGACAAATCTCTGTCTACTATCTACTACTATATGCTTTCCATATAGAAATGATTCAACATGTTAATTTGATAAGAACTATCATCAATGAAAAATTTGGTGTAGTACATACTTCTTGTACGAATATTTTATTTTATTTAAATAAAATAATTACGAGTATTATTATTATTATATTATATTTGACAGTAAACTAATGTATAATCATTATAGTAGGCATACTAAAATTGTATTATAAGGTAAAACCATAAACATACATAATAAAGTATAATTTTAATTTTGTAGATTATTTAGTATACAGCATGCCACATATTATTTAGTTCATGAAAATTTAACAAGGTGACATCCTTAGCAGCCACATAAATACTAATTTTCTAATAACCGGACCATTGCTTATTCCAAATATTGGTATAAACTTATATGGTTTAAAGCTCGAACTTGTTGTTGTACCAGAAAGACGTGCATGTAATACATAAGTGGATTTCAACCTTGAGGTTAGAGACTTCGTGCTGATAACGTATTATGAAATATATGTTGCATTTTAATTAAGGGGTGTGAATGAAAAATGGAAGAGGCACTTCTTGGGTGTGAATGGGAAATGGAAGAGGCACTGAATGGAAAATGGAAGAGGCACATCTTGGATTGCACCTCTTCATCTCACCCTTTCATTGGGGTGTGAATGGGAAATGGAAGAGGCACTGAATGGAAAATGGAAGAGGCACATCTTGGATTGCACCTCTTCATCTCACCCTTTCATTGTCTATAAATAAAGAGGCTTAGCCTCATTTTCTACCACTGAAAAATCTGAAATCTCTCCCCTCCATTTTCTGCATACTGCATTGGTTATTCAAAAGCAAAACGTAAGCATTTTGTGTGATTTGCTCCGCCATTTGAGTTCGCCGAAATTCTGTGATTTGAAGTGCCGCTATCACAGAATAGTTATTCCGTTCTATCCTGAGAGAAATTAATCCGCAACCTTGGGCATTGTGAGGGGATTAAATTCCTTAAGGAAACACAAGAAACTTGTGGGCTCGGAATTTTCTCTGCTTTGTTTTTCCTTAAACTAATGTTTATTGATTTACTGGTTTTGAATACATAGTGGTAACAAGCTTGAGGAATTTATTATTTATTTCTGTATTCATCTTACATTCTATTTTGGGAGACTAAAATCTTATTGATTTTCTACTCCCGTTTTATAGATTAAAATCTTCAGATTTTCTACTCCAGTTTGAGATTAAAGTCTTTGTGACTTTCTACTCAATCCGAGATATAAAAACTTGGTTGCTTGTATTCGGTTAGAAGATATAAAAACTTCACCGAGATACTAATTCTGTTTGTCAATTTCTTTAACAGAAAAATGACAACAAGTGCGGAATAACAGAATGGTTCTGTTGGGACTACTGCTACAATGGCAACTGCGTCTTTAAGTCGCACAACCTGCACCGGCAGAAAAACCCGGAGAGTTTTCCGGTGTGGACTTTAAGCGTTAGCAGCAGAAAATATTCCTCTACCTGACCACACTCAGTTTACAGTGCTTTATCAGTGAAGACGTTCCAGTTCATGGAGAAAAAACTCCTAAAAATGAGCGATTTGTGGTCACTGAGGCATGGAAGCATTCTGACTTCTTATGCAAAAACTATATTTTAAGTTGCTTGGAAGATGGCTTCTACAATGTTTATAGCATCATGAAAATATCAAGAGAATTGTGGAATGCTCTTGAAAAGAAGTACAAGACTGAAGATGCTGGACTAAAGAAGTTTGTGGCCGCCAAATATCTGGATTTCAAAATGGTTGACGGTAAATCTGTCCTAACGCAAGTCCAATAATTGCAAGTTATTGTTCATGACCTCCTTGTTGAAGGTATAAACCGAGCCAATATTTTTATTCAAGATATTGATTATTTTACTAATTATAAATTTATGATTGAAGGTATGGTCATAAATGAAGCGTTTCAAGTTGCGGCATTTATTGAAAAGTTGCCTCCGCTGTGGAAGAACTTTAAGAATTACTTGAAACATAAGCGCAAGGAGATGACGCTTGAAAACCTTATTGTTCGTCTATGGATTGAAGAGGACAATAAGGATGCTGAGAAGAAGTCTCGTGGAAATTCAACAATTATAGGTGCAAATATTGTTGAGGAAGCTTCAACGAGCAAAAAGAGAAAGAAGTCGTCTGGTCCAAAGAATTACCCAAGAAAAAAGAAATTCAAAGGTAATTGTCACAACTGTGGAAAGGTTGGACACAAGGTTACTGAATGTCATCCACCAAAGAAGGACAAGAAGAAAAGTCAAGCAAACATGATTGAGAAAAATGATGAAATAGACGATTTATGTGCCATGCTTTTGGAGTGCAACCTAGTCGGAAATTCTAGAGAATGGTGGATTGATTCGGGGGAAACTCGTCATGTTTGTGCTAACAAGGAGTTGTTTACTTCTTATGCTCCCGCTGGACCCAACGAGACAGATTTTATGGCAAATTCCGCTACTGCAAAAATTGATAGAACGGGCAAGATAGCTTTGAAGATGACTTCTGGCAAGATTGTGACTCTAAATGATGTCCTTCATGTTCATGAAATGCAGAAGAATTTAGTCTCGACATCACTTCTAGTCAAGAATGGATTTAAGTGTGTTTTTGTTTCCGACAAGGTTGTAGTTAGTAAGAATGAAATGTATGTAGGAAAAGGCTACCTTACGGAAGGCCTTTTCAAACTCAATATAATTGCTATTGATATGAATAAAATTCTAGCTTCTTCTTACTTACTTGAGTCAAATAATTTATGGCATGAACGTTTAGGCCACGTCAACTTTAAAACTTTGCGAAAAATGATTAATTTGGAAGTATTGCCTAAGTTTGAATGCAATAACTCGAAATGTCAAATATGTGTGGAATCAAAGTATGTTAAATATCCCTATAATTCAGTTGAAAGGAATTCAAATCTTTTAGACTTAATTCACACAGATATTTGCGACATGAAGTCAATACCATCTCGCGGTGAAAAAAAGTATTTCATAGGGGTGGTGAATATGAATCTCTTTTTGAAGAAATATGTTTGGAATATGGCATTATTCACTAAACAACTGCCCCTTACTTACCGCAATCTAGTGAAATTGTTGAAAGAAAGAATAGAACGTTAAAGGAGATGATGAATGCCTTATTGATAAGTTTGGGTTTACCCCAGAGCTTGTGGGGGAAAGCTATTCTTACAGCGAATCAAATACTCAACCGAGTTCCCCATAACAAAACGCAATCTATTCCATATGAAAAATGGAAAGGTAGGAAACCCAACCTAAAATATTTTAAAATGTGGGGGTGTTTGGCTAAAGTGTAAATTCCTAAACCCAAAAGGGTGAAGATTGGACCAAAAATGGTTGATTGCCTTTTCATAGGAAATGCAAGAAATAGTAAAGCATATCGTTTTCTGGTTCATAAATTAAAAAATCCCGACATTCATATTAATACGGTAATCGAATCCGATAATGTTGAATTCTTTGAGAATATTTATCCGTATAAAAATGAATGTGAGTCGTCTAGTGAAACATCTAAGCAACCTCGAGAAGAAGAAAAGGAAAGTACGTTTAATGAGAAAAATCCAAGGCGTAGTAAACGTCAAAGGACAACTACTTCCTTTGGATTAAACTTTCTGACATTTTTGTTAGAAAATGAGCCTCAAAAGTTCAAAGAAGCAATGTCTTCCTCGGAAGCACAATATTGGAAAGAGGCAGTCAATAGTGAGATAGAATCCATATTAAGTAATCATACTTGGGAATTGGTTGATCTTCCTCCGGGAAATAAATCTTTGGGTTCTAAATGGATTTTCAAAAAGAAAATGAAAGCATCAGGTACTATTGACAAATATAAGGCAATATTAGTTGTTAAAAGGTTTAGACAACGAGAAGGTCTTGATTACTTTGACACATACTCGCCGGTAACAAGGATTACATCTATCCGGGTCTTAATAGCATTAGCCGCTGTGTATGGCCTTCAAATCCATCAGATGGATGTAAAGACAACCTTCTTAAATGGATATTTAGAGGAAGAAATCTATATGGAATAACCTGAAGGGTTTGTAGTTTTTGGAAAAGAAAAGAAGGTGTGTCGACTTGTTAAGTCACTTTACGGACTAAAACAAGCACCAAAACAATGGCATGCGAAATTTGACCAAACAATGTTGTCAAATGGTTTCAAGATCAATGAGTATGACAAATGTGTTTACATTAAGAATACTCCAAATCAAATAGTCATTGTTTGTTTATATGTGGATGATATGTTGATAATGAGTAACGACATTGCTAACATAAATACTACTAAGCGCATGCTTACTAGTAAGTTTGATATGAAAGACTTAGGAGTTGCCGATTTTATTTTGGGAATTAAGATCTTTCAAACTCTTCAAGGTCTAGCTTTGTCTCAATCTCATTATATTAAAATGGTACTTGAAAAGTTCAAATATTTGGACTTTAAAGAAGCAAAAATGCCAATTGATTTAAACCATACTCTTATAAAGAATAAAGGTCAAAGCAAGTCTCAATTGGAATATGCTCGAGTGTTGGGAAATTTGATGTACATTATGAATTGCACATGACCTAATATAGATTGTGCGATAAGTAAGCTTAGTCGATACACAAGTAATCACAACCAAGCTCATTGGATAGCAATGAAACTAGTTTTGGGATATTTGAAATATACCTAAGACTATGCATTGCATTACAATAATTATCTCGCAGTTGTTGAGGGATATAATGATGCAAATTGGATCACCGGATCAACGGAATCAAAATCCACAAGTGAATACGTGTTTACCATTGGTGGAGGAGCAGTGTCTTGGAAGTCGTCCAAATAGACATGCATCACCTGCTCTATAATGGAGTCTGAGTTCATAGCTTTAGACAAGGTCGGTGAAGAAGCTGAATGGCTCCGGAATTTCTTAGAAGACATTTCATTATGGCCCAAACCTGTGGCACCTTTATGCATACATTGCGACAATCAAGCAGAAATAGGAAGGGTTGGGAGCATTATGTATAACGGAAAATCTTGTCACATTCGACGAAGTCATAATACCGTTAGACAACTACTCTCTAGTGAAATTATCACAATTGACTATGTAAAGTCAAAAGATAATGTATCGGATCCACTTACAAAAGGCCTACCTAGAGAGGCGGTTGAGAAGTCATCAAAGGGAATGGGACTATGGCCGAGGACAAGTCACTGTGGCGGTAACTCTACCTAGAAGACTGGAAATTCCAAGATCTAGGTTCAAGGAGATCAAACAAAGTCAATAATGACAGTTCAACATTGTCAAATAAAATTTCTTTTTGGTCCATTCTCGTGATGAGACAATGTTCAGTACTAAGGATAAAGCGTTAAGACTTTTTAATGGTTTCTAAATTTGATACGGGGTATATCAAATAGTGTATCTACGGGATAACACGCTTAGGAATCACCTATGTAAGTGTGAAGTGTAAGCCGCTTCAAGGAGAATTCAGTAAGGCCAGTTCTCTTCGCACTTATGAACTAGGTGGTATTCATGGCTGAAACGAATACAACAATGAGAGCCAAAGACGGTTAAGGGTTGATTGTGTGACTTATGGTTGTCTAGGTATACACCAAAGTTCGACGGCTCAAAGATATCAAATCTACCGATTTACCGAGTATATCCGACATAAGCTCACTACGGAAAGTTCAAAGGAAAACCTACTTATCCAGATGTAACTAATCCTTAATTGCGAATCACACAGTATTTTCATGCATGTTTTTCCACATATGTCCATTCCCCATCCATGTGGGGGATTGTTGCGTTTTTATTAAGGGGTGTGAATGGAAAATGGAAGAGATACTTCTTGGGTGTGAATGGGAAATGGAAGAGGCACCTCCTGGATTGCACCTCTTCATCTCACCCTTTCATTGGGGTGTGAATGGGAAATGGAAGAGGCGCCTCTTGGATTGCACCTCTTCATCTCACCCTTTCATTGTCTATAAATAGAGAGGCTTAACCTCATTTTCCACCACTTAAAAATCTGAAATCTCTCCCCTCAATTTTCTGCATACTGCATTGGTTATTCAAAAGCAAAACGTAAGCATTTTGTGTGATTTGCTCCGCTATTTGAGTTCGCCGAAATTATGTGATTTGAAGTGCCGCTATCACAGAATAGTTATTCCGTTCTATCCTAGAAGGAATTAATCCGCAACCTTGGGCATTGTGAGGGGATTAAATTCCTTAAGGAAATACAAGAAACTTGTGGGCTCGGAATTTCCTCTGCTTTATTTTTTCTTAAACTAACGTTTATTGATTTACCGGTTTTGAATACAGAGTGGTAACAATATATCTCAAAGTAACAATATAGAACAAGAAAAAAAACAAGCTTAGAGATATGAGAAAGAGATGAGAGATTTTTATTTCTTCTTCAATTGTGTGTATTTTCCTATCTATTACAAGGCCTTTATATAGGCATGAAAAGTGAAAGAAAAATATGTCATTGAATATATCATTAAGCATTTGAGAAAATCATGGAGGAAGAGTAGACATCCCGGTAATTTAATTTTTCTTATAACAAATTTGACATTTATAACTTTACACGGTGCAACCTGAACTTTACTATATATTCTCTTTGTGAAAGGACAATGTCAACGTGTTATTTAACAATAACAAAATTAGGTTTAGTACCTTCTTAGCATACCAGTCCTCGTACGCTCTAATCAACTTTCAAACTAATTAATAAGCAAACTCAAGTATCCTCGTGATAATAAAGAATTTCCAGAATAAAGAAAATCAGCAAAAATATAGACGAACTCATTATTTATTTACATACAACCATATCCAAATATAACAAGATGGTACCATGTATATCAATGAACACTAAACGCCGGAAAAACAAAAGGGATAGAAATCCCATAATCAAGAATATCTGCTAATATCCAAAGAATATAGGAAATAGAACAAATCTAAATATATAAAAATAATGAAAAAACAGAAGCAAACTCCATCGAAATGTGAAGACGATCAATAATGGTGCGATGATAGAAGAAAACTACCAATCAAGATGGCATCTAGTTTCCTCGAAATTAGCAGATGATGATCTGCCATTAGACTCCAGAGGAACCTTGAAATCACACTCAATCTTTGGCTTAATTTTGTGTGTTTTGATCCAACCAGCCTTTAGCCTAATACGCATGTAAAGCTTCACTTCCATCTCATAAACTCCTAAATTCTTCTCATTATTGTAATTGGATTTCTCTCTGTCTCCCAATAGAACCAAGCTTTGACCTTTGAACACTGGATGCAAGCTGCTAGTATTCTTGTGACCCTGATAAAATGGTTCCAAATTTGTACTATGAAACCTCTCGCCTTGATACATAGCTCTAGCTTCAATTGAATCATAGTAAATTCCAATACGCTTGTTGGGGTTTCTAATAGTCATATTAAGAGCAAGATCATAGAAAATAGTGTTGTTTGTGTTGGACAAATCGAACTGTGTCAACGTGGCATCGGTCACGTAGAATTTGACTTTGTTAGGACGAAGAACGAGCCAGAGAACTAATGCAATGACTCCGAGGATGATCAGAAGGGTGAAGATAATTTTGAAAAAACAATTGCAGAGGCAGCCAAAGAGACAGCTACATGGGTTGCAGCTGCTGCCGCGGCCGTGGCGGTGATAGGATTTTGCTGGTGGCGGAATGGAAGGGCCATAATATGCTCCGTTCAAGTTGGATTCCGGCATGGCTCAAGAAAAATAAAGTACAGATTATATTACTTTGTTTCTTTGGTATATGTATAGGATGCAATAATAGAGATGAGATTGATATTATCCTTTGGTGCGTGGAGTTGAATATATATAGGTCATATGTGTCGTTTCAGTCTTTGGTTTAATGTGTATAATATTTGTGTAAGATTTGAATTGTGGAATTGGTAAGCAAAAGCGGATTGATTATTAGAAAATGCCGTGTTTTTATGTTGTTAGAAAAGACACGGTTGCGTTTTGGCAATACCTTACAAAAATTAATCATATATGTATGTACTGAATAAGATATTTCTTGGAAATTTCCAATCAAGATAGAGTCATTGACTTAAATTTTAGTCAACAATTCTTATTTTTTCAGCCTTCTTCATATTGTGTTGTATAGTATAAGTTATAGAACATGATACTATTTAGTTAAGAAGATATCAATTTGGAAGGGATCTGAGAAGAGTAACTGGAAATAAATATCTATACTGGCATGTCGTGTGATAGGATATGGAACTTGGAAAAAAATAACTAAAATTCATTCCTCTTTTCTAATTTCAAGTGGTTAAGAAAACTAATGTAATTAAGGGCTGCGCAGAACCCCACTTTTACGTGTATTTTTTGTTCTTTTCCAATGTTTCTTGATTTAGCTTCTTAGAAAGGTTAAAGAAGTTGCACGTAGTACGTCTAGGCTCCTCATGAATGATTTGACCCGTAAAAACATGAATAATCTCTCCCAAATTTCTAATTCTGTAAGTTTATCAATTCATTTACACTTTTTGCTACCTCACAAATTTATGCATGGTAGTTGTTTTTAAATACATACAAACTTTTATATAGTGATTTTTTGGTTGTTATAATGAAGTGAAACATAATATAAAAAAATTAGTTTTAAGAAAAACTTAATTTTTACCGTAAAGAGTTATCGTAGATGATGATTGTAATAAAGAAATTTAACCGTATAAGGAAAAAAAAAGTTAATTAAGGGAAAACGAAGAGAAAAACAGAGAAACTAGGATGATAAGCATATGGACCACCCCAAAGTAGCTTTTTTTTTCCTTTCAATAGTTTTCACTTTTCAGTTTCCTTCCCTCTTAAGTTTATTTCTTTAGCATTTTATTATGTTCCAACCTAATCACTCGGACATAAAATATCTTTCGACGAGCGAAATAGATGTCGGATATTCTAAAGGTCAATATCTAATACTCCATAGGTATTATGTTGATAATTAGGTAATGAGAAGTCTTATGTTGACACATATAAAAGTTGAAATCTTGTGTACATGATTTCACGCGTGGCTGTTATTTTCTAAAAGTTTGACACCGCGTAAGCGTAACATATTCCATTCATATTCTAGTCCATGACAAAATATAACAATAACAAAAACAAAAAATAGTGAAAACTTCTACAAAGACAATTTCTGCACTTGAAAATGATATGTTTGCTACTATTTAATCTTTCAAGAAGTTTATTAGGACATGTGGTTTGTCTGATGATGCTAACAAGATGGTGTTCTCAAGCTTAAAAAAATGGAAGTGTTTTCTTCTTTTTAATATAGTATAAGTCAAAATTGTTTTTCTTTTTAAAATGGAATAGAAATTATATAATTTGACTAATTATTGAACTTGAAACAATTCATTCGCTTATCCAGAAACTCTTCTTTCTCTTTCATTTTTTCATTATCTTAAACATTCTTTCATTCGATGATTCATCAATTTAACTATTTTATATCTGATGTTTCAACTTTCAAGGTTTCGTGTTTTGTCGTTATAAACAAATAGAGTAAATATAGCATAAACTCTATTAATTCAGTAGAAAATTCTTGAAGAGTAAAATCATACCTATTTGGTAGACTTTAATGGACAATTTAACAAATAAGTAGAGTAAATATAGCATAAGCTCTGTCAATCCGATAGAGAAACGCTAAAAAATAATAATTGAGTGCGGTTCGGAGGGCTATTTTTTTAATACCACTAATTTTGTGACATTCGACTAAGATCAGCCCCTTACGGGGCCATCCATGTCAATCTCCCGTCCAAATTTCCAATTGGGAATCTTACGAAAATGTCCAAAACTGAGATTTAAATTCCTTAAAATGTACTTAGTCTATTTCAATAACATTCACTCAAGAAAAAGTAAAACTTTGACAATTTTTTGGCTCAAATCTTGAAATCTTATGTCTTATACAATATAGAAACTTAGTTCAATGAAAAAACTGTGTGCATATTTTTAAAATTATTATTAGTAATCTTAAAGATTCTATATGGCTGTTATAGATGGGTAATTGTACAAAGAACGTTCTTCTATAAATATGGTTGTTGCTGTTATAGGTAAAAAGCTATTATACAGAGGTAAAATATAACTTAAAAAATCGGTTCAGAGGAAAACTTGACTTTTAAGGTGAATGAATGTTATATAGGGATACTATTATAGAGAGGTCTGACTGTACACATAGCCAAGATCATTTATATACACTAATATAAAGTTAACGAGATATTTGAAATGCACTATCTATTACGCGCTAGCTTTTGTAAGTAACCCTGTAGGCATTTTTATGCTAATTGAATCTCATATTAAGATAATGTGTTTATACTAGGTAAATCGTCCAATTAAACGAACTGTGAGTCTCTGTTGATAAGGAACCACTACAGGTACAGTTTTAATCCATTAGACTAGTCGTGTTTTGAAGTAGATTGGTGAACCCAAGTGGGCTCAAGTGCTTACAAATTAGGCGTTGTGTGGGACAAAATTCACAAATAGTTGTGAGCACCTAATTTTTTATCGTGCTTGAATATTTCCCGCTCTCATCTTCCCACGCATGTCCCTCACTCTTTGTCTCCCACACTTTGTTCCCACTTCACTTTCTCTTGTCCCTCATGCTTGTCTCCCCACACTTTGCTCCCCATTCCACTCTCTATTGTTCCCCATTCCTTGTCTCCCATGTTTGTCCCCCATGCTTGTCCCCCCGTACTTTGCTTTGTTTCCCACTCCTTGTCCCCCACACTTATGCTCCCTACTCACAACTCCCAACATCCCCCCTATTCCCTAAAAGAAACAGACATATCCCTCCCTAAAAGGGAGATCCTTGCCCATTTCATGTCCACTCTCTCGGACCTACATAGAAAAAGGGGAGCAACAAAAAAATGAAAAAAGAAGAGAAAGAGAGAAAAAAGCCCTTTCTTCCATTTTTTTTTTAAAAAAAAAAGGAAAACGGAAACAGAGAAAAGGAAAAATTAGCCATGAAACAACCTTGAAACCAATTGTTTTACCTCCACGAAACCCAGCAGATCCTAACCAAAAATGAAATAGATTGAGTGAAGCTTTCTGTCAAGTCCGGTTTCTTTCTTCTTCTTTTTTTTGATTTTTGAGAGCTTCGTTTGAGTTTGTCGGCGAGGCTGTCCGGTCGAGTTTTGAAGAAAGATCCCTGGCCATTATTTTCGTTGTACTATACATCCATCAATAAAGGTCTGATTTCTCCATGTTTTTCTTTAAGTTATTCTACTCTTGACATTGAACGAATGAAATTCTTACTTTGAGTGTTCATTTCGTTTTGTATTATGCTTGTGATTGTACCGTCTCTGATTGACGAGTTGTTTATTTGTGAGTTTATCAGGTATGTAGATGAACTTATTTTGTCTTTTATGAATATTTTCTGTTGATTAAAAAGAAAAAAAAGAAAATTTTTTATGTAGTTTACAAAGTTTTCCTTGGTTTTGGGTCTTAAGTCCTTGAAATAAAAATAACATTTTCCTTATTGTGGCAAAAATCTAAAATTGTCAACTTTAACGGGTCACGAGACTTGCAATTAACTTGGTCTAGAATGATATTCATTACTCTTGTGGTGTTTGATTGCAAATTGCAAATTACAAATTGCTTGTGTTTTTCTTGTGCTACATAATTTATGTCACTGTGACCTTGTGTTTTAGCATGTCTAATTTAAGACAAACCCTCCAGTAGTAATAATAAATACATAGATATTAAATAAGTGTGTCCTGTCTGTAAAAGTACACATAATTTGGATTGTTAAATAAGAATTAATATGCCATCAGAACTAATGTTGTTGTAAGCCCTCCCATATTCCTTGCATAGATACTCCTTAGATAATTCACATCGCTAGTTGTTTTAGGCACGTCTAATAAATATAATCGTCGCGGCAAGGGGTACGTTTCTTGTGGCATAACCATGATACATAACTCCAAATTCAAGTGAACACTTGCGTGACTTGATCTTACAACTTTAAATAATAATAAAATAAATATGTTGTAAATCGCGGTTGCGTTTCATGTGACGTGATTTGCAACATATAATAAGACAACAAGTGCACGATATCGCAACTTATCTAAATAAATTCCATAATTGTTAAAAGTGGTATAGAAGCGGTAACGCATAAAAGGTTTTAAACATGTAATAAATCAGATAATTAGGCCAAGTTGTAGTCAATAAAGCGACCGTGCTAGAACCACGGATTCAGGGAATGCTTTACACCTTCTCTCCGATTAACAGAATTCTTTACCTGAACTTTATTTTCGCAGACCAATAATAATAGAGTCAAATCTTCCTTTGAATAGGGATTCAAATAAAAGGTGACTTGGAACACCCAAAAAAAAAAATCAATTCCAAGTGACGACTCTGTAAATAAAATAATCCCTATTTCAAAAATTATCACTTTAATTGGAAAAACTCTTTAACCCACAATAACGCACATATTTATCTTTGTGAGAGATAAAAAGGAGGTGTGACAATAGTTACTTTTCAACCTATGTAATTTGAAAAATAGCCAATGTATTGAAGTTTCAGTAGATTTTACAGGTGAAGCTCCAAGTTTTGAAATTTAAGCTCCCGTTTAATTATAAAAAAAAATTCACTCTTTTTATAAAAATATTGTTTGGCTATAAAATGCGACCAGTTTTTGGGCAGTTTTTTAAGATGAATTTTTCATGTTTCAAAAAGTGATTCAGACTAATTTTTAAAGTTTTCTACTCATAAAACTCAACTTCTTTTCGAGTAAAATGCATGTCCAATCACAATTTCAACTTCTAAAAATTATTTTTCATTTCATCTTCAAAAATTCTTATTTTTAAGTTTCAACCAAATTTATATTCAAACGCTAGCTAAAACGCTAAGACAGTGACTTTATTTTAAATTATAGAACTTAAAATAGCTAGTCC